GGCCTAGGCTGGATTTGAACCTGCCACCTTAGGTGTACGTGGCTGGCGCCTTAGCCACTTGAGCCACAGGCGCCAAGCCACATATTTTTATAACTTGAATATAAAGTCTACTTTGTTACTTTCTTCTTGATTAGCAATAATAAAAGATCCTTTTCAAACTAACTCCTATTGGTTTTGTTAGTTTTAGGTTAGAGAATATGGAGTTTTTGAAAGCAAGGGCAGGGTGTACATAAAATTTTGGTTAAATTTCATAGACTGGCCTAACATTGAGAAAATATTTAGAATTTTTGGATGAACAAGGGGGCCAAGTGATCTGTGCTACCTTCCATTCACAAAAGGTAAGCTGAGGCCTACCTGCTACCTCTAGATCAGGAAAAGCCCAGGGCAAAGGGCAGTCTATAACCTCACATGGGAGTGAGGCCTGAGAACTTGAGGCCTGCTGAACAGGACAAACTGCAACATACACACAGGTGTTCATGACAGATGGTAAACTTGACACATTTTTATAGAAAAGGGAAACACAATTACTCGATATTTGTGCTTTATGATGGAGTTTTCAAGCTTCTAAATGGATATATATATCTCCATTTAGACAGAGTCTCACTCTGTTATCCTGGGTAGAGTGCCTTGTTGTTATTATAGCCACAGCAACCTCAAACTCCTGGGTTCAAGTGATCCTCCTGCCTCAGCCTCCCAGTAGCTGGGACGACAGGGGCCCACCACTATGCCCTGCTCGTTTTTCTATTTTTAGTAGAGATGGGGTCTTACTCTTGCTCAGGCTAGGTCTGAAATGCCTGAGCTCAAGGGATCCTCCTGCTTTGCCCTCCCAGAAAACTAGAATTACAGGACTGAGAGCTATTGCACCCACTCTCAAACTTCTAAATTAAAAAAAAAAAAGTACTGGGCGGCGCCTGTGGCTGGAAGGAGTAGGGCCCCAGCCCCATATATGGGAGGTGGCAGGTTCAAACCTGAGGGTCTAACAACTACAAAAAAGAAACAAACAAAAAAAACCCCACAAGTATTTAGGGTGTGGCGCCTGTGGCTCAAAGGAGTAGTGCACCCGCCCCATATGCTGGAAGTGGTGGGTTCAAACCCAGCCCCAGCCAAAAACTGCAAAAAAAAAGTACTTAGAAATACATTTTGTAACAATGAATATCACCAATGAGAGACTATTTGGCTAAAAGGGAGGACTGCAAGTCTAAATTCAAAAAGATGGTAGCTGTGTTGCTGCTACTGTTGAGGTTATCTGAACAGTTCAAGTCTTTCCTGTTATTAAAATCTGTTACCTATAAACATGGTCTAGAGTCAACTCTGGGAAATCACACAGTGCCTGGACTCACAGGTGGGGCAATTTCAGTCTTAAAGGCTGTTCACAACCCAATGCAAAGTCAATGCCTTTCTGAAGTCTACCAAGGTCTTCAAAACTGCAAATAAGTTTTGTAAATAAGCTTAATAAATAAAACAACTGAACCCACTAAATGGTATTTACAGGAAACAGGCTTGAGAACTTAGCTTCAGTTTGCAGGTCCAACCAGTCCTCAACTAGAACAAGGATTAATTATCTTGTCTCCCCTTAGATCCAATAATCCTAAAAGTGTTAATGGTACCAAACGTTTTAGGAAGAAACAACAGAAGAAACAGCAGGACGAGCAGCACCTGTGGCTCAAGGCGTAGGGCGCCGGCCCCATATGCCAGAGGTGGTGGGTTCAAACCCAGTCCCAGCCAAAAACTGTAAAAAAAAAAAAAAAAAAAAAGAAACACAGCAGGACGCACAAATTGCATTTTCTGTGTAAGTAAAATGTCAGAATTATATTGTTCTAACATCTTGCTCTTCATCCGCAACAATTTTACTATGTTCAGCATAGTAGCAACTGAAAAAAAATGTGTTTTATCTAGAAACAAAGTGAGAAAACCACAAAAAAAATCGCGGTTTTGCAATGCTAGGTTCCAAGTTTTTGATATAAAGCTAAGATAACGCAAAATAAAAGACTGCCACAGTAACCAAACTTTTCAGTTAATAAGTCTTAAAAACGATGACAATTCGACCGTCATAGATGTTTTTCCACAATGTGAGCAAATAAGGTCCCTGCAAACCTTCTTGTTTTTTTGCTAACCAGCTTTATAAATCTTGCAACTTGTAAGTCAAGTTTTCTTTGGTGAGGGAGGAAAATTAATAATCAGGCTTAAAATAAATTGGTCATGTAATTCCTTTTTTTTTTTTTTTTTTTAACGCCGACAAAGCGCGTTTCCCCATTTCGCGCTAGGAAGCAAATCGTGTCAACTTGCGGTGCAGTCAAACGCGACAAACTCCTCCAGCTCCAGACGCGACGCCTGGCGCCCCCGCAGCACAGAGACGCGGCGCCCCCAGGACAGAGAACCCGCAGGCTCGGCCTTCCGCGGCCACTACACCCTGCTTCCCCTCAGGAGGAAACTGAGGCACGGCTCGGGAGAACCCGCTCCCGGCGAAGGCCCCGCCGCCCCTTCCCCCGGGAGGCAAGTGGGCAGCGCGCAGTGGACACCGCGTCCACCACGGGAAGGCCACCGCATGGTCCTCAGCCCGCCGACCCCACCCCGCAAAGGTCTCAAAGCCTCCAAAGGAGCTGCAGCCGGGAACGGGCGGCGCCTCCCCGAACGCACCGCGTAGGCAGCCCTCGCCGGCCCGAGCGCCGAAAGTTCCGCGGAGCTGGAGGCAATGTGGCCTCCCACCAGGTGCGCGACCACGCGCCCTCCGCCGTCCCCGCGCCCCTGCCTCTCACCTGACGCCGCCACGCAGCTCAGGTGGCCGCCGCGCGCCTCCCGCCATGGCCAGCCTGAGGCTGCCCCGCGACCCGCTCCGCAGCCCCTGCCACGGGCCAGCTGCCTCCGCCAGCACCTCGCAGCTTTGCGGGCTGCGCCGCGGGCGACCAGAGTGCGGAGCTCCCGCCCACCGCCGCGGGCGGCCGGGCCGAGCATGCCCAGTCGGCACGGGAGGGTCCGGGCCGGGTACCGCCGGTATTTTGCAGCAGCAGCGGGCGGAGCCGGGCGGCTGCGGAGCTGGGAGGAGCCTGCGGGGATCCAGGCGGAGCCGGGAGGGGCCTGCAGAGGTGGCAGGGCGTCAGCGGAGCGGGAAGGGGCGGAGCTGCGGTGGGGCGGGACTCGGTACCCTGACTCGATCTCGCTCCTGACAGTAGCCGGACCGTCACGGTGCGCAGTGCCAGACTCCTCTCCGCATTACTGAGACTCGGGTCACGGGGCAGACGGGACTCCCTGGGCCATCGGCGAGACTGGAGGGAGCCGGCTCCCGCGCAGCACACCCAACAGTATCTGAGCATCTGCCGCGTCCCCCGACAGGAGCCCCTCAGCTTGCGCGCCCTTAGTCTCAAGCATGGAGAACTGAAAGCTCAAGACAGAAGCGCCGGAAGACACGGCTAGACGTCCGCGGGCCTTAATTAAAAAATTAAATTTTTAAATTTTCTTATTTTTTATTATTTCAGCTTCTAGACTCTATATGATGAACACTAAGTTGATATTTTGATAAGAAAAAATAGATTATTCTAAAATTACTTTTCAAATACCTGCAGAAGTTCCATCGCATAACTTTGCAATGTGAACGTTTTTTCCCCCTACCTTTTCTTTTACTGATTTTTTTTTTTTTAAGATGTGAGCTAGACCCTCAGTTTCCGCGGCGAGGCCAGACTTCCCCGCTCCTCTACAACTACAACTTCCGCTCCGGCTCCTCCTCCCACCTCCTCCCGCCAGAATCCTCCTTCCACCCCGCCTTCTCCCCGCCCCC